GTTCGAGTCCAGTGGACTCGCCGCGGCGAGGCCGAGGCCACGTGGGAGCGAGAGGAGGAGATTCGAGCTCGCTATCCAGATTTCCAGTTCTGATTAGTAGTATCGTATTATGTATTTTTCAGTTTCTAGTTTTAGTCGAGTTGGCCTTATGTTTAGTTTTGTCATTTCCGGGGACGGAAATGTTTTAAGGAGGATACATTGTAAGCCCCGGACCAAAATTATATTAGTAGGTCGACTTTATTTATCGAAATTAGTATTATTTTAATTATGCAGAGAATTATTAATATTAATTGCATAATTTATTTATTTTCAAGTCTAAGCCATAAAGGAGCATCCAATTAATTAAACTACCGAGCCCAACATTTTATTGGGTCCATTTAATGGCATTTAATTTCTTAAGCTCGAGTTGAATTTATTTTAATTAGTCGGCCCATTTTAATTCGAGTAGTTGAATTAATTTCTAAGCCCAAGCGATATTTTAAATATCGAACCCTCGTAGTATTTTTATTTCAAGCCCAGTTATTTAATTCCGAGCCCAATATTATTTTTCGGTCTAAGTCGAGATTATTATTTCAAGCCCATCATATTTATTTGACCGAACATTTCAAATTTCTAAGTCGAGTCGACTAATTATCCTACGCCTAAACCGATATATATAATCGAGCCCAATCTATTAGGCCCGATACTAAGCCCAATAACAAGAGTAAAACCCTAGTCTCCTACACCACCTATAAATAATTGTCTCCTTGTCTCCCAACACAACAACAACAAGAAACCCTAGCCCCCAAGTTACTATTCATCATCTTCCTTTCAAGAACACCTTCCATTTTCAAGATCTTGTGCAAAAAACCTACATTATGTCTTAGATTATTAATAGATCTAGCTCTAAAAATGCAAACCCTACCTTCAAAGCCAAGAACTCAAGCTTTCCTTCTTCCTCCATCCATGGCTTGACCTCTATTCCGGCGAACACTCCTCTTTTCCGGCGAACCACCGGCCGGCGAGCCTCAGCACGAGCACACCACGGCCCCAAGCCCTCAGCTCGAGCACACCACGGCCCCATACCCTCAGCCCGCAGTCAAATCGCGCAGCTCATTCCTCGAACCATTCTCGCCGGAAAAACCTGCAACTCCCGAGCTCCCCGGCGAACCTCCATCCCCGGCGACCGTGTTCCTTGCTCTGACGACCAGCTGACCTCAACAAGCTCGCGAGCCGACCAGCGAGCGTCCATTTGCAGCAGCTCGAACCTTCACGCGCAACCACCACTCCTAGGCCCGATTCGCGAAGACCCGTGACAAGCTCGGATCTACACCCGAGCACGTTCGTATGAGCCGCCTTAGCTCGATCTGTTCAAACTTGAACCATCTCTGACCAGACCTGAGGCCCTCGGTACAGAATAGAGCATCTTAGCTCAAATCCGAGCCTCTTAGCTCAGCCCGACCCGAGTACGAGCACAACCGGGTCGTTTCCTAGCCGTTTTGATTTTTCTGATTTCCGATTTGAACCCTTCGAGAGGTATAACGGCTTAAACCTTAATCCATGAGCTTAATCTAGTATTTAGATGAATTTTAAAATTTACGGGAGGTGATTTCGAGCATTATAAGATTTATGGTGAATTTATCGGCTTAAATGACATTAAATTCCGTAAATATTGTTTGCTGCCCGGAAAAATGCAAAACTAGCGTGATAAATTCCGTTAAGTTGACTTGAGGCCTAGGTTTTAATTTCGTGATTTTTGGTGCCCGTTTAGTAGTTAACCGGAATTTTGAATATGTAGCTGAAATGCCCAATTTTTGATAAATATGATAAAGACCTCGAAATTCGATGCAAATTTCACAAAAAATCTTATAAATGCTGAGTATGACGTGGTTAAAATTTCATAATTTTTAGAGGTTGTTTGGTATGCCCAGTGTTTTAAATACCGTACCGGTGGCCATACCGGTCTACCCACCGGTACGCGGTATTACCGGTACGACCGGTAATATCGGTGGTATTACCGGACTAGCAAATAT